GTAGCTTTTTGTAATTTATATAGTTTGTATGTTTTCTAATACCACGCGGACGAAGACGCGGGCAACAGCTCGTACTTATATATTTATACTAACTAATATTATAAATGCAAAAGTTTAGATGGATGGATGTTTGTTAGAGTTTGTAGCTTAACCGTTGGCGGATTTCGACGAAAGGTATAGATGTAGAGGATAGTCTATAAGAACACATACGCTACTCACTTTTCTTTTAAATTCCACGTAGACGGAGTCGCGGGCGAAAGCTAGTATTAAATCATAATTTACGAATATTTACAGCGAGGAATACCAAAGAATTATGTTGAAAAAACCGTTAGTTTTAATTCATTCTTTTCATCCATAAACAGTAATAGCCAGATTTTTTTTTATAAACGTTACAAAAGCTGCTATATTAACTGCTATTTCTAGCGCATTACTACAGTCATAAAAGTGGAAACAACGGTTGTTTGTCGAACTGGAACTAGTTCGCTAGTTCGTTTATGTTATTTGCGACGGAAGGACGTGTGTTTCGCTTTAAGGTAAGTAAATACGATGTTTTTATATCAAAAGTATTGAATTATTACGTTATAATGAATTTAGTTAATATTATGCAGTATAATTTGTTAAACAATCTTAAATAACTGCGTCAAATAAAGAAAATATGTGAGAAAATTAATGAATTAACTTATTGTAGAAGTCTGTTTTTTTTTTCACATACTAATGTTATAAATGCGAAAGTTTAGATGGATGTTTGTTAGAGTTTGTAGCCTAAACGGTTGAACGGATTTCGATGAAATTTGGCATAGATGTCTAGTCTGGAAGAACACATAGGCTACTCAGTTTTTTTTAATTCCACGCGGACAGTCACGGGCGAAAGCTAGTGTATCATATGTCAAAGATTGGGGATGTCAGTCATCATCATCAACTTGCCCTTATCCCTTATAGGTCGGCACAGTATGTGCTGCTCTTCCATACATCTCTATCAGCCATATCTGAATCCACTCCTTTCTTAAGCATATCCTCTTTCACACAATCCATCCATACTTTCTTCGGCCTTCTTCCTTTGTAGCCATCAATCTTAACACTTTCAGGTTTATGTCCCCATCGTCTCGTCCCATAACATGTCCATACCACGCTAACCTTTTGCTTCTCAATTTCTCCACCACTAGCGATACTTTCAAACTTCCTCTAATGTCTAGAACAGTGTATAAAATAAAAAAATCTTAACTTATTTCTATTTGTTGTAAGTGGGTTTTTCTTTACATTACTCGTGTGACTCAGAAAGGAAATGTTTTTCGCGTATGACTAGACTTGTAAGAACCTATACAAGTGCGTTGTCATTTTTTTTAAATTATTACTCACTACCTGCAATTAGAATTTTTATTTAGTTTACATTACATTGGAAATTGATCCGTAATACAAAAAGCACGGAAAATACTGAGCTTCATTTTGTATTATTTACCTGATAAAAAAATGTCAAAGAACGTTTTTTAAAAATGAAACCTAGGTCAATACCACAGATGCCCAAAGTAATCACATCCCCTTTCAAAATGTTACTGGTTTAGAAACCCCCTTCTGCAATACTATTTTAAAATGTAATATAAAAAAATGCAATATACACAAACAAGTTAGTTGTAGTGCCCGCTTTAACATCTTAGCACTGCAGGGCACGCCCGGTGTAATACCACGACCACACAGAAGACAGGCGTGAAATGGAAGCAATTCCGTGTTTCGTCTGATGAGTGTGGTGCCGGAGGCCTAATTTGAGTCCCTTTCTCTTTACCACCCATTTCTTATAAGGAGAAGTTGAAAAGGGGAAGTGGATTTGACGGTGGAGATGCATAGGAAGGGGCAATATCCTCTTTATGTGCGTTTCCTCTGTCGGATAAGGGTAGGCACCGCATCTGCTATCGCGGATGACTGAGCAGCGGTCGCTTCGCCATTTTGGCGGATTCAGGTGACCGCTTGCTCGTTTGCCACCTTATGTTATAAAAAAAGTTAATTACAATTAGTTAGATGTAAAAATTTACCTTTTTCAATATATTCGGGCACAAAGGTGAGGTGTGCCAAAAGGGCTTGGCGCATTATTGCTCAGGGGTATAGTTCCGACGAGCACACCTTGAATAAACTATCGCACGACTCTTGTGTTCACAATTGTTTCGCCTTCAACTGTTTAGTTTCTTAACAGACAATATTCCTAATATTATAAATGCGAAAGATGGATGTTTTAACAAACATTTGAAAACGGATCGACGGATCATAAAGAAAATTTTGTTTCCCTTTTATAATTTCGCGGGCGAAAGCTAGTTGCTTACTAAATGTAGTAAATATTTCTTGACGTCGAGTAAATATTCTATAGCCTTGGCAGAGAAATTATTTCGCCTGACAAAATAAGAACGACGCAAAACAGTCGGGAACGACCAGTCTTTTCAAGGTCTGTGACAAGGTCAATCGACCTATGAATAGGGTGACCATCTCTATATTGGGATAAAGGAAATTCACTACATTTTTAATATCTACTTATTTATTCAGTTTACTATTAGTCAATTCATTATTTTAAAGAAATCGAGAGATATAGAGATAGAGCGTCGGTGGCTCAGTGGTTTAAGCACTTGACTTGTAATCTATACAGGTCTTAGGTCTTGAGTTCGAATCCCGCCGTGTACCAATGTCATTTTCGATTTTTCGAATTTTTCATGTACACATAATTTACCCTACATTCTTACGGTGAAGGAAAACATCGTGATGCAACCTGCACATATCAGCGAAGAAATTCAAAGATATGTGCGAAGTCAACCAACCTGCACTGGGCCAGCGTGGTTGACTATGGCCTAGTCACCCTAACATATATAGGTCGGCTCCGAGCCCCTCGGTGGGGACGTTCAGTGAGCTGGTGATGATGGTGATGAGAGATATAGCTTGAATAACAGAAAGAGAAAAGATTTGTATTTTTTTCTACAATAAAATGGTAAACGAGTAAGCGGCCATCTAAAGCCGATGAAATGGCGAAGCGACCACTGCCCATAGACATCCGCAAATGCAGAAGTTTTGCCTACCCTAAATCGACGGAGGAGACGGACATAAAGAGGATATTTCTTCACCGTCAAATCCATTTTCCCATCCAATCATTTCTTTATAAGAAAAGGGTGGAACGAGACTAAAATTGGGTTTCCGTTTTTTTGTATGTATTTGATTCACGCAAAAACTACTGGGCCAATTTTAAAAATTCTTTCACCATCAGAAAGGTAATTTATCTGTGAGTAACATAGGCTATATTTTTATCTATGAACTAGCTGTTCTCTTGCGACTTCATCCGCATGTAATTATGAAAAATCTATTTTGTTTACATTTGTCAAATTGACACGACAAAATGTCAACATGACATGACATTACAAACCTTAGCAATTTTTTTTCTTGATGTTGGCAGCAACTTATGGTCTCTTTCCCATATTAAAGTTTTTATCAAAAATATTTATCCCCTAAGTTTAACGGCGTGAAAATATATAGCCTAAAGCGTGATGCAAGTGTAGGGCTTTTCATTTCAGTATAGATTTTAAACGCATTAGAGAATTGACAAACCAATAACTCTCTTTTGAGTGTTAACTTCGTAAATACATAAAAACATACTCCATAGAAAAACTCCTCTTTATATCATGAAACCCCTCACAGCGTACCTAATACAAACACCATAAATTTTGGACAATGGTGGAATTCCCGTAACCTACAAAGGTCAAAAGGCGAACTTTTACCTACTAAATGACCTTGGTTTGACATTAGCGAGTTCCGATCATTGTTACAAAGATATTGTGTTAGAAAGAGACGGATAATACCATGAAAATGGCCTTGCATTGTTTCTTACAAAGCAGGTACAAGGGCACGTTTTTAAGAAAAGTAGGCAGAGTTTATATATTTACGAGCTGTTGCCCGCGACTTCGTCCGCGTGGTATTAGAAAACATACAAACTATATAAATTACAAAAAGTTACGTATCCCTCGGGAAGCGGACATATCTCGGGGATGAAGCTTATCCCATGTGTACTCCAAACTTTGTTTTATATCTGTGCCAAATTTCAATAAGATATGTTGAACCGTTGCAGAGTGATCGAGTAAACATTAAAAAACTAAATTAATGAATCCCACGGGAACCGTAACTATTCCCGGGATAAAAAGTAGCCTATGTGTTCTTCCAGACTATGCTTTAAACCTGTGCCAAATTTCATGGAGATCCTTTAAGCCGTTTAGGCTACAAACGCTAACAAACATCTATCCATCCATCCATCTAAACTTTCGCATTTATAATATTAGTAAGATATATAGGCCTAAATAAAACATGAGTTCCTACAGTGGGGTTGTGAACAGAAATATTTTAGTTCCCTGTTGCCCGTGACTTCGTCCACGCTATTAAGATAGAAAAGAATCCTGTAATATGCTCGTCTATGTCTACCTTTCAGTGAAAGTCCGGTCCAAATCGGCCCAGTCGTTTCGTAGATTACCCGGAACAAACGCGGCTTACGGACAGACGGAGAGACAATTTTTTTTAATGCGATTTTCGTCATCAGCAACGCAAATACATCATCTTCCCGAAATATTGAATTATTCTTTTAATGTTAACCAGACACTCCATTTTTTTTAATGTATATGCTTTCTCCCTCGACTCCGTCCGCGTGGAATTAAAAAACCAAAAGTGAGTAGTATGTGTTCTTCCAGGCTATCACCTACGTCTGTGGCATTTCATCGAAATCTGTTAAGCCGTTTAAGCCACAAACTCTAACAAACATCCATCCATCTAAACTGTCGCATTTACATTAGTAAGATTTAGATATATCGTGCCAAAAACACTGTTTATTTATGAAAACCTTCATGGAGGACGCGGCGTTTGATCTCTAATGTCAAACTCGGGTGTTTGTTTCCCGCCAACTGTCACTTGTCAATGTCAAACTATGACGTTTACAATCTTAGTGGCGTTAGTAATTGCGTGTATAATTTGCTTTATATTATTATGTTTATTGTGTATTTTGAGTTCGTTTTTGAGAGTTTTAACATGCATACTGGTGACGGCGGTTGTTGTTTTATCGATATGTACTTTCGTGACAGGTTAACTGTGAAAGGAATTTAATATTGGTAAGGTAATGTTGCCATAAATGTTACTGACCATTTATGTACCTTTTACCGTTAAAGGGCTTATGAACTTCGCCCATGTCCACCGCCCTGGGCGATTGACTACACCCTGTAGGGTGTGTAGGGTGTGCTGTGTACAGCATTGTCTAATTTTTGTCATCCTTTCTATACTGTTCCCAACTCTCATCATAGACAAACTGCGCACAACACTTGTTCCGTCTTAATTCTTGTTATTCCCACTAATATTGTATACAAGCTTTCGCCCTTTCCGTCGACGTGGATTTAAAAAAGTGAGTAGCCTATGTGTTCTTCCAGACTATCTTCTACAAATATACCAAATTTTATCGAAATCCGTTTATCCGTTTATGCTACAAACTAAAAAACATCCGTCTAAACTTTTGCATTTATAATATTAGTATGAAGTATGATGGGAAAGGTATGAAAGAGGGGTGAAGAATTATTGTTTTTTTAGCCTTAGAGTGGGTTACCTTTCGCATCTCACGACTGTCGTGCGATTGTTGATTCGCAGACAATTCAACTGTTTAGTTGCACAATTAAAAAGCGAGTAGTGAACATCTAAGCTCATACAAATCAAAGCAAGACTAAACAATGCGATAGTCAAGGGTGCACTCTTAAATTGATGAATGAATTTCGAACCAATAAGCTAAGATAAAATTTTAAAAAAATCAATATATAGTAGGCGACGCATCTGCAATAGCAGATGTCTATGGGCAGTCGTTTCGCCATTTTACCGGATTCAGGTGGCCGCTTGCTCGTTTATAAAAAAAAAATGTTGAAAATTACCGAGTCCGAATCCCACTCGCCGTGAATTTATTATAAATCCTTATTCTAACAGTGGTAAAGCCCGCTTTAACATAGCACGAATGGGCCGACTCGCCCCCAGCAATACCACGACCACACAGAAAACAGGCGTGAAGTACAAGTTCGCGTTTCGACTGATGAGTGTGGTGCCGTAGGCCTAATTTTAGTCCCTTTCCCTTTCCACCCTTTTCTTAAGGGGAAAGGATGGGAAGTAAGAGTGGATTTGACAGTAGAGGAGATTGGAAGGGGAAATGTCTTTATGTGCGTCTCCGTCAACTAAGGGTAGGCGACGCAGCAATTGCGGTTTATGGGCAGCGGTCGCTTTCCATTTCTGCGGATTCAGGCCGCTTGCTCGTTTGCCACCTTATATTATAAAAAAAGGTTTTTTTTTTCGATGTCTTCGAGAATATTCATCTACTAGATTTATTTAGCCAGTTTTTTTTTTAATTTAATCATTGTTACAGATAATGCCTGAGGTACACCCAGCTTTTGTGGATGCGGGAAAGAAACAAGGATTGGAGATATGGAGAGTTGAAGTAAGTTCTTTTACTCGTATTTCTTACTAATATAAATGTTTACATGTTTTTTTTATAGTTAATATTAGAGATGACTTTAAAATTTAACTATAGTGTGTCTAAATAATTTAGATTCGTTTGACAATTCATTTCAAATTTAGTAGGGATGGGTTGTGTAATCAGTCATGAATCTTATCGATTTTCGATTTTTATTCTTATAGAAGTTAGAATCGATAGATTTATAGTTATAATTCATGAATTTAAAAAAAAACACTGTTTTCTCAAATTGATAATAACCTTAACAAATAATGAGAGTAAATAAATGTTTATTACTACTACAGCCGTACGTAATCGAATTGGATTTCGCTATTATTTCTGTCATCGCTAAATTCTCTACACTATAATAAATACTAGAATTGTCCTATAAATTAGTTAATAAGAAAATAATAATTTTAGTTGAGTTCGATAATTATTTAAACCGAATATCGATAGTTCATAATTGTTCGCTGCGTGTTTGTTTTGTCATTACGATACCTGTCTATTAAGTATGACATTTGCCTTCATAGAAATTGAATTCGATACATCATATACGTCATTTATCAAACTAATCTATTTTATTTAGACAAACTATAACAAACACTCAGAGCTACCAAGTACCCGTTACCTAGTCCGCGTTAAATAAAAAAAAAACAGCCTACTAGCTGTCGCTAGACTCCGTTCGCGTGGAATTAAAAAAAAACTGAATAGCCTATCCGTTCTTCCAGACTATCCTCTACGTCTATGCCAAATTTCATCCCAATCCGTTCAGCCGTTAAGGCTACAAAGTAACAAACATCCATCTAAACTTTCGCATTTATATCAGTAACATTGTTTACAATAGATAACAGTGGTAGTGCACGCCTTAACATCTTAGCACTGCAGGGCACGCCTCCAGTAATACCACGACCACACAGAAGACAGGCGTGAAATGGAATTAATTCCGTGTTTCGTCTGATGAGTGTGGTGCCGGAGGCCCAATTTAAGTCCCTTTCTCTTTACCACCCTTTTCTCATAAGAAGAGGATGGGAAGGGGAAGTGGATTTGACAGTGGAGGAGATGCATGAGAAGGGGATATATCCTCTTTATGTGCGTCTCCTCCTCAGTCGCATAAGGGTCGGCAACGCATCTGCAATTGCGGATGTCTATGGGCAGTCGCTTCGCCATTTTGGCGGATTCAGGTGGCCGCTTGCTCGTTTGCCACCTTATGATATAAAAAAACTAAAGTTATATCTACGAAAGAAAGAAGGCATCCAACAAGAATTATTTTAAAATTGAATTTGTAACGTAAAATATACATTTTGTATGATTAGATAACTTATTACGTGTTCATATTCTATGTTAATGAGAATAGTAATTTCTAGAAAGAAATTCCTTTCAATTGACGTTCACACGTATTTAAATCTGCCTACACGAGAAACAAAAAACGCATTTAATGGATGTGCGCTTGGTGACTGGGAAACAGTAGAAATAAATTCCTTGTTTTTGTGATCGAAATTACATTATACAGCTGTTGCCCCCGATTTTGTCCACGCAATAATAAGATAAAACGTAGCCTATAATATGCCCGTCTATGTCAACTAACCTTCAGTGAAAGTTCGGTCGAAACAGGTCCAGCCGTTTTAGAGTTTGCCCGGAACAAACGCGGCTTGCGGACAAACAAACAGACACAAAAAAAATTAAATGCGATTTTCGTTGAAATAGGATACATTAATTCTGTTATTTCATGTTTACTCGATAATTCTGCAACGTTTCAATATACTCGTATCTTACAAGCTTTTGCCCTAAACTCCGTTCGCGTGGAATTTGTTCTGTGTTCTTCCATAATATGCTCTGAAGGGTATGATGAATGAAGGGTAGGTGACATAAACGCCCTTATTTTAGGCTGCTTTTTTATCTTGATACGAGCTGTTCCCGTGCGACTTCATCCGCATAAAATTATGATTTTTTTTATTGTTTACATTTATCAAATTATCAATTACAAATATCAAAATGACATGACATGATGACAACCTTGTTTCCTTAATGTTGGCAGCAACTTATGGTCTCTTTCCCATATTAGGGTTTTTTATCCAAAAGATTTACACCCTAAGTTTAATGGCGTGAAAATATATAACCTAAAGCGTGTAGGGCTTTTTATTTAAAAAAAGATTCAAAAATATGCTGTAATTGCTGACATCTTAGGCAACAAAGAAGTGTGTGTTTACGCGTTATTATAATAGTGTAGAATCGCGGGCGATCGCCAGTTTGTTAATAAAATTTTATGTTCTCTTTACTGTTAAGTGTTTAAAATATAGGATGCCTAAAATATAGCACTTACTGTTGACGTAATATTTTTGTAGTGATGTTGTAAATTTTTAAACGAGATAGATTTATGTTCTTCTCAAAGTGTTACGGAATGATGGATACCATTACATTTTTATTATCTGTTATTTTTGACGGGAAGTTTGTCAGTTTTATAATGATTGTTTTTATACATTTACTAATAGATTTATCGAAATAATCTACAATTGATTTTGACATGTAACACTTTACCTCGGTTCTATTTACAGAAAATATTGCCTAGAATATACGAGACATACTTTGTTTCTTCTTACAAATTAGATAATCATTAACATAATTGGCAAAGGTAGAGCACTGTAGGGCTCGTCAGCAATACCACGACCACACAAGACAGGCGTGAAGTGGGAGCAATTCCGCGTAAACTCTGATGATTGTGCGTGATTTTTTCCTTTCTTTTTCCACCCTTTGTCATAAGGAAAGGTTGGAAAGAGAATGTGGATTTGACATTGGATTGGATGGTAGACGCATAGGAAACGGATATAATCTCTTTATGTGCGTCTCCGTCGATTAAGGTAGGCAACGTATGCGTATATATGGGCAGCGGTCTCTCGCCATTTTGGCAGATTCAGGTGGACGCTTGTGCGTGTGCCGCCTTATAATGTAAAAAAAAACTCGCAATTAGACCGATCTTTTCGTACAGAGACATTTAGTAACTGTATTCTATTGTTTATTGTTTTGCATCGTCTTAATAAGTTTTAGAGCCTGTCCCACCACTGGCTATTAGAGGCTAATATAGCTTAAAAATGTCGTGACTGTCAATTAAGGAAACAAAATCCGATATTTCCATGACATATTTTACACGTTGGATTGTTATCTTTTTACAATTTGGTGGGACAGGCCCTTAAACGTTCAAACGTGTGTGAGTAAAATGTACATTTCGTTGGATACACAACAAATTCGTCTGTCTCCGCAAATCTAGTTACTGTTGCTACATAAATAGACTCCCGGCATAGATAGATGTATAAACTTATGAATACGGGATGTTCGGAAATTCAGAATAAATGGGATAGCTTTATTTCAGAATTTGTACAAAAATGATTTAAAAATGTGCTGTGTTTGACATCCGGGATAACAAAGTGTGTGTTTACGCTTATATTAGTATAGATTACTGTAAAATTCAACTATGTCCACTTGTATATATACTATATACTATATCTATACTATTATAATAAAGCGTAAACACACACTTCTTTGTTGCCTAAGATGTCAGCAATTACAGTATATTTTTGAATAATTCTTTTTTTAATAAAAAGCCCTACACTTACGCCACGCTTTAGGCTATATATTTTCACGCCATTAAAATTAGGGTTAAATATTTTTGATAAAAAACTCTAATGTGGGAAAGAGACCATAAGTTGCTGCCAACATCAAGGAAGCATGGTCATGCTTTGTCATCATGTCATGTCATTTTGAAATTTGCAATTGATAATTTGACAAATGTGAACAATAAAATGAAATTTTTATAATTTTATGCGGATGAAGTCGCATGAGAACAGCTACTTAATACATATTTTTCTATCTCTTTTATTCTCTTTGTCCAGAGACAACAGTATAATAAAGTCTACAGCACCTATTAATTTTATTAGTAAAATTAAACACCCTGTATTTTTAACGATCGTTTTACACAGGAAATGTGTACGCGATGAGTTGTCTCTAATTCTGTACAGAGATACTTTGTACATGGTGTTTATTTTATTATGTGGTGTAAATGTTTAGTTTTCTGATTCGATTAACATGTGTTTTTTAATACACACTGTACATTTCTTACGTCAAGACAAGCGATAGGAGAATTGTAATTATAAAAACTAGTTATAGTGTGTCTAAATAATTTAGATTAGTTTGATAAATGACGCATATGAAGTATCGAATTCAATTTGTATGGAGGTAAATCCCATACTTCATAGACAGGTATCGTAGTGACGAAACAAACACACGTAGCGAAACATTTTGAACTATCGATATTCGGTTTAAATAATTATCAAACTCAAATTTTTATTTTCTTATTCGCTAATTTAGAGGACAATTCTAGTATTGATTATAGTGTAGAGAATTTAGCGATGACAGGAATAATAGCCAAATCCAATTCGATTATGTACGGCTGTAGTAGTAATAAACATTTCTTTACTCTCATTATTTGTTATGGTCATTATTAATGTTAGAAAACAGTGTTTTTTTCTTTCATAAGTACTATAAATCTGTCGATTCCAACTTCTATAAGAATAAAAATCGAAAATCGATAAGATTCATGACTGATTTTACACAACCCATCCCTACTAAATTTGAAATGAATTGTCAAACTAATCTAAATTATTTAGACAAACAATAATGAAAAATCGAGTTCGAATTTCAACCATAACTTTTATTAAGATATTTTTACTAGCTTTCGCCCGCGACTCCGTTTGCTTGGAATTAAAAAACAAAGCTAAGTAGCATATGTGTTCTTCCAGACTATCCTCTACGTCTATACCAAATTTCATCGAAATCCGTTTAGACTACAAACTCTAACAAACATCCATCTATCCATCCATACATTCATCCATCTAAACTTTCGCATTTATAATATTAGTAGGATTGTACGTATGTTTTAGTATTTAGTTATTTATTTATTGTGTATTTTGTTGTAGAACTTCGAGCCAGTTGCGGTACCTCTAAACCAGTATGGAAATTTTTACTCTGGAGACTCTTATATAGTGCTTAAGGTAAGAATATCTATTGAGAATTTTTTTTAAATATTAAACAATGTTTTGTTTTCAATTTCGCGACTATCTCAAGTTGTTTAAATTTCAAAGTAATTAAGGCGCTGTGGATAAAATGATCGTAATTCCGTTCAAACAGATTTTAATTAAAGGACTGAAGTTACACGTACTAAGATATCACGAATCAAATCTTTGTAGAAATCCCGTTCTAAGCTTCTTAAGATTTGCAATTTGGTACCAGAGCGCCTTAATTTTAATGACAATTGGGTACATTTTTAAGATAATAGATGGCGTTGTATTAAACCGAATACAATTTTAAAAATATGCCTATTTGAGATTCCTCTTTATATCTATAGTAATATTATAAAGAGGAAAGATTTCTATTATTTTTTTATGTATTGAAATAAATCAAAAACTACTGGGATAATTTCAAAAATTCCACCATTAAAAATCTATATTATTAGTGAGTAACATTAGCTAGATTTTTAATTCAATTTTTTAAATTCCATGTGAACGAAGTCACGAGCAACAGCTAGTAAATTATAAGATAATAGTTTACTAGCTGTTGCTCGCGACTTCACCAGCGTGATTTTAATAAATAATAAAAAAACAACCTATGTTAGTCACTGATAATGTAGCTTTCTAATAGTGAATCGCCCCAGTAGTTTTTGAGTTATTTCAATAAATATAAAGATTTAATATTAATTTTACGTTATCTAATCTCGACAGACAACTGGTACGTCAAATCTATTCTGGGATATCCACTTCTGGCTGGGTTCACACACCAGCCAAGATGAGGCAGGAGCGGCCGCCATCTTGTCTGTCAATCTAGACGATGAACAGTTCCACGGAGATGCTGTACAGCATAGAGAAACCCAAGGACATGAGTCTAGACAGTTCTTGAGTTACTTTGAACCTGGTAAGTGATTGAAAACTAAAAAAACAATGATCAGTAACAATAGATAGGTACAGTTTGAATGACTACTTTTGCTATGTTCTGAAACATGCCTTTTGATGTTAATGACAGTTATCAATATTAGTTGTTCCCGTGCGGCTACATTCGGGTGTGTAAAAACTTTATTTTGTGGTTTACATTTGTCTAATTCTCAAATGCAAATGTCATAGTTACCGTTGCCATAATAACCTTGTTTCCTTAATGTTGGCAGCTTGTTTTTTTTTTCCTCCCACGTGAAGGTTTTTCCAATTTATTTACCGCCTAAGTTTAATAGTGTGAAAATATATAGTGTAAAGCGTGTCGTAAGTGTAGACCTTTTTATTATAGAAATAATTATTCAAAAGTATGCTGTTTTGAGAGTAGCCCCAGTGGTTGAGAAAATAAGGAGTAAAAGGTTAGAGTGGTATGGGCATGTTATGAGAAGGGATGAATCGCATGTAACAAGAAGGATGTTATGAGTGTGGAGGTACACCATGGTGATATGTTCAAGAAGAGAGTGATGACTGAGATGACGTATGATAGAGTTATTTGGAGGACAAAAACCCGACACTACGGGAGTAGGATAAGGCAGGGGAGATGATGATGCTATGATTGCTGACATCATACGCCACAAAGTATTGTATGTTTACCCTTTATCATATAAGAATAGAGTATAGATTAAGGTAAATGTTGAATTACAATCGATATAAGATATTCTAAAGTTTATGATATAATAAAAATAAGTTTCATATTTCAATGTAACCTAGTAAAATTTTAAACAGTTTAACCATTTTACAGATCAAAAAAATGTTTCTAGGAAAACATCCGAAAAACGCAAGTATTCTTGCATGGAAAGGGTTATATAACAAGGGACATCCAATTATATTACTATTATGTGAATGCTTAAAACGGGAAATATGTGTGAAATTATAGAATGAATTTTGGGTATTAATACTTTTAGACATTTTTTCTTGGGATATTTTTTATATAAAATTATGCATGTGAGATTGAAAATATATTATGGGTACATATAATTTCATATTTTTTTATTTATGAGGGAGGAGAGGGATTTTTATTTATGTATGTATAAACTCAAAAACTACTATATCCATTAGAAAGCTATTGTTAGCTATATTAATGTTATAAAGAAGAAAGCTTTGATTGTAATGAAATAACTCAAAAACTACTTGGGTAATTTCAGAAATTCTTTCACCATTAAAAAGCTACGATATAAGTAAATAAAATAAGGTGTACTGTATTGTTTAAAACTCTCGCGGACGAAGACGTGATCAACAGGTAGTCGTATATAAAAATAATAGACAAAGAAAAGATTTAACTCTGCCTACCCTTGTTAAGCGTAACTATTATGACTTCGTCCTCGTGAAATTAAAAGAAAATATTAATATCACTATATTACTCAATGATAACGTAGTTTTTAATGGTGAAAGAATGTTTGAAATTGTCCCAGTAGTTTTTGAGTTTTCAATACATATAAAAATACAAATCTTTCCTCTTTATAATATTAGTACGAGTATAAATAAAACCAGCAAGCAAGCAAGCGGGTCTAACACCAAGGGTCTTAAATAATTTTTAATGTCCATAATTTTAAATAAATATATTTATTTTCAGCTATAAGATATATGGATGGAGGCCATGCTTCAGGTTTCAGTCATGTAACTATAAACCCTGGAGCAGAGAAAAGGTTGTTCCAAATCAAAGGAAGAAGAAATGTCCGCGTTAAACAGGTATTACATGATTACGACAGACCGCCAGGTATCCATCTTCCATCCATCCATCCATCCTCACAAACTCGATAACTGGTATTCCACAATCGTGCGGTTTTCGAGGAACTTTCTGCTCCGCACAGCCGCGTTGTAGAACGGTCTGTCCTCGGCGGTATTCCCAAACCAATACGACTTAGGGTCCTTCAAGAAGCGAGCCTATCATTTACTCAAATGCCGGCAACGCATCTGTAGTTCCTCTGGTATTGCGGATGTCCATGGGTGTTGTTGACCACCACGGTATTCTCGCCGTTCGTTTGACCCCTTCTCTAAAAAAAATGAAAAGAGGGTAATGAATTTCGCTTGTATGTAAGTTTGCATGTTTGTAACGGTCTACAGCATAAAATACTGAACAGATTTAGATGAATGAGGTGTCATTGGATTTGTCTTCTTCTACAGAGTGTCATAGGTGATATAACATTAGCACAAAACAACTACAGTTGCTGTGAGGAATGTAAATCTAAAAAATAGTGAAAAGTACTGTATCTCAAATCTTACTATTATTATATAAATGTGAAAGTTTAGATGCAAGTTTGTTAGTTTGTATCCTTAACTGCTGAACATATCTTGAGGATTGTCTAAAGTAGGGGAAAGTCTGGAAGAACATATAGGCTACTTACTTTTTTGTTTTTATTTCCCCGTGGACGGTGTCGCGGGCGAAAGCTAGTAGTCTATATTAGTATTTGTTACCTCTATAAAAACACTGGGAGAAATTATTACGGCAACCCTAATTTTAGCAAATTTTGAAGTAGGAGACAGAATTTAATGCTCGGTTCACATTTGGCCAGTACGTTTGGTTAGTTGCGCTCAACCCAACTGGCAATCGACTGGCACAGGGTAAAGGCTAACTGGCACCAGTAATTCCAACTGTACTAGTAATGTGTTAATCGTGCATTACATAACTCTGTTTACCCCCTTCAAAAAGTTGAAAAAGGGGATGACTGAAATCTCTCTCTTTTAATTAGAGGAATTAGAAAAACGTAAGTTTGTGTTCTTCCAGACTATACTCTATATTAGGCAATCCAGATTCGTTCAGTTTAGATATACTCTAACAAACATCCATCTAAACTTTCGCTATTAGTAAGATTTATTCAATGTTAAAAAAATTGCTACAAAAAACTCCGTCCAATAGGCAATATGCATATGACACCAAATTGTACCAAACTTTTTTTAAGTATACTTTATTACTATAAAAACAGACCTGCAAAGATTTTTTTAAATGTAACGTATTTTAGTGGCAAAATTTAATCATTAAAATGTGTCTTTTTTCAAATTCCCTCGCTAAGTTCTAAAACGCACACTATTGGTCATAGCAAGTGGCTTATCTAATATGGCGTCGCTGTGTTGACAATACACAGTTCATTTACGTTACTTTATATAGAAATACACTCTTGAAGTATTTTACTGTAAACACGATATCAAAACCAACTTTAAAATAAAAAAAATAATGAATAGAATTATTAACCACTTATTTGTACCAGGAATAATAAAAATGAATCGATTTTTGACTTTTTGACCTTGAGAAACTCGTCGCGTTTTAGTCGCTCGAAAATGGTCGTAATTTTATTTTATTATTTTTAGCTCAATGGTTGAATATTTTCGCGTCAAATTTTTTTTGTGGTTATTTTATAACAAGTAGAATCGTTTAAAAATACATATTCCCTATTAAACGTGAATATATATATATATATTTTTTTTATAACACAAGGTGGCAAACGAGCAAGCGCCCACCTGAAACCGCCAAAATGGCGAAGCGACCGCTGCCTATAGACATCCGCAATTGCAGATGCGTTGCCTACCCTTATACGACGGAGGAGGAGACGCACATAAAGAGAATATTTCCCCTCCTATGCATCTCCTCCACCGTCAAATCCACTTCCTCTTCCCAACCTCTCCTTAAAAGAAAAGGGTGGTAAAGAGAAAGGGACTTAAATTAGGCCTCCGGCACCACACTCATCAGACGAAACACGGAATTGCTTCCATTTCACGCCTATCTTTTGTGTGGTCGTGGTATTGCACCGGGCGTGCCGGCCCATTCGTGCTAAGATGTTAAAGCGGGCACTACCACTGTCAAACAAGCAAGTTTCCAAACATTTTCAGGTAGAAGCATCGATAACTTCAATGAATAACGGAGATTGTTTCATATTGGATGTCAATCATGATATATTTGTATACGTCGGAGATGGCTCTAAAACTGTGGAAAGGTTAAAAGCTATAACTGTAGCTAATCAAATCAAAGATCAAGATCATAATGGAAGAGCCAATATTGAAATTATTGGTAAGAATTAAATATTCTACACACAATGTATATACTAGCTGTTCCCATGCGACTTCAACCGCATAAAATTATAAAAATTTCATTTTATTGTTCACATTTGTCATTATCAATTGCAAATATCAAAATGACGACATGATGTCAAATTACGGCGACCTGATGTTCGTCACAAATGTAGAACATAGACTAAAATAACATTGTTACTTGCTTTTTTTTTTTCATTAATTAAACGTGGACAGAATCGCAGGGAAAAGCTAGAGAGGTATTTTATGAAATAAGTAATTGAACTAGTCATACTGAATGTTTTATTTGATTTTACAATTAAAATTGTTGTTTTTAAACGTAAAATTAATGTTTAACAAAAGTGGGCCAAAAACCGTCCCTTGCGGGATTCCCTTCATCATTTAATTATTGCTTCAGATCCGTTCTCTCATGAAGGTGATTTAGAGAAATTCTTCGAAGCTCTCGGCTCTGGTGATCAGGATTCAGTTCCTGATGCTGAAGAGGGTGGTGATGATGAAGTGAGTATGGAGTATGTTGTGATGAAGTTTGTCAAACGCTGATAAAAAATCTCCGTGCGGGTTTATCCGCATGAAATTTGAAAACTTTATATTATTGTTTACATTTGTGAATTCAATTGCAAATGTCAAGTCAAATGCACAGACAACGAAGGCCTTTGACATTGGATAACAATTACCGTTACCATGGCAACCATGCTATTGTCAACTTATTTTTGTCTCTTTCACGTGTTACTTTTTATACTTTTTATTTGAGTTTCTTTACGTTTTTTCAGGAGTTTGAAAGAGGAAGTACTAAAGAAGTAACTTTGAGTGAGATTTCGGACAGAACTGGACAGTTGGAAATCAAGAAACTTGAGGGACCACTGAATAAAGAACTACTGGATACTCAGGTTTGTATTGAATAAAATTCCAAGTTATAATAGTTGTGTTATAGGGAAGGAGGGAGGGAGGGAGAGATAGAGAGAGAGAGAGAAAGCAAGTGTCGGTATATGTAAATATGTATTGAGGGAAGGTAAATAGTAATAATAAATGAGTTAGTCTAAATCTGAACTTGGTCGGTTCATTAAAGAACGAAAGAAGGAAGGAAGAAAGGAAGAAAGAAAGAAAGAGAGAAAGAAAGACGTTTAATAAAAAAAAACCGGCTGACGCACATTTTAACTTTTCAGGAATGTTACATTCTGGACACAGGAAGCAGTATCTACGTGTGGGTCGGCAAGAAATCTAATGGAACGGTACGAATTTTCTTATTTATTATTCTTTTTTCGATGTTTTTTGAGTGAATCTTTTTTAAAAAAAAATAAGAAACTTATCTAACATTAAAGTTTTTAGTTTGATTAAAATAATTTAAAATGTTTGTTTTTAAATCAATATGTTTTTAGAGAATAGATTAAAATGAGAATTCAAATAATAATTTCATTGCAAACTTTATTCAATGGAATGAAAAAGCTATCGACTCAATTAGATACAGCGCCATCTATTTGTCTAAAAAAAAGGTCTTAAAAATTTCGATTCAAACTAAACTTTGATGTTTAGTAACTTTATTACTATTATAATATATTATAAAGTGTAAAGATTTGTATTTTTGTATGTATTTGATTCACGTAAAAACTACTAGGCCGATTTAAAAAAAAATTTCAATTAGAAAGATAATTTATCTGTGACTAACATTGGCTATATTTATTTACATGCGGGCGATGTCGCGAGCAACAGCCGGTTAATATTAAACTAATAGAGAATGAAATAAATATGCTTTTGTAATTTTTGTTATGCACATTTCCAGGAGAAGTCAGCTGCGATGGCTAAAGCTCAACAATACTTGAAAGCCAATAATTATCCTGATTGGGTAAGATTTAATATCAGATTTATAATTTATTATTTGACTATACGATAGCTGACATAGACCCATATTAGAGGTTACTTTTATCTTTATCTATACTATTATAATAAAGCGTAAACACTCACTTCTTTGTTGCCTAAGATGTCAGCAATTACAGCATATTTTTGAATAATTCTTACACTTACGTCACGCTTTAGGCTATATATTTTCACGCCATAAAACTTAGGGGGTAATTTTGCATAAAAACTCTAATGTGGGAAAGAGAACATAAGTTGCTGCCAACATCAAGAAAGAAAGATTGCTAAGGCTTTTCATGTCATGTCATTTTGACATTTCAATTGATAATTTGACAAATGTGAACAATAAAATAAAATTTTCATAATTTCATACGGATGAAGTCGCACGGGAACAACTAGTATACACTATAAAGTAAAGTTTTTATAATGCAGATGAAGATTTGGAAAATTTAGTTATGTATTTTATTTCAGGTTCATATTTCAAAGGTAACAGAAGGCGCTGAGGCGACCGCGTTCAGACAATATTTTGAAAATTGGAATTAAACGATCTCTTTAAATTTTTTCCACTGTCTAAAAACTTTTATTAAAACATCTAAGTTAGAATCTATACTCTTATAATAAATGTATTTTTGTATGTATTGAAATAACTCAAAAACTACTGGGACAATTTTAAAAATTCTTACACCATTAAAGCTACGTTTATCAGTAACATTGGCTATACTTTTAATTACACGCGAAGTCGGTAGCAACATCTAGTCTATACTAATATTATAAGAAAGATTTGTATTTTTTATCTATTGAAATAATTCAAAAACTACTGGGGCAATTTCAAAAATTCACACACGATGAAAAAGTTACTTTTTTAGTAACATAGGTTATGTTTTTCATTTTTTCTAATTATACGCGGACAAAGTCCCGAGAAACAGATAGTTTTATATAAAACTACTGTTAAAAAACCTCATTTATTTGGATTTTAAAACAAGTTTAATGGCAGAGGAAATTCTAAAGAATCTCTATTTCGAAGCACAAATATATTGCTTTTAATGTTAGAGTATAAATCTACAATTTGAGTCGAATTCAAAAATGAGAAATTATAACAAATAAGCTTTCGCCCGCGACTCCGTCCGCAATTAAAAAAAACGAAAGTAGTAGTGTTCTTCCAAACTATCCTCTACATCATTATCAACTTGCCCTTATCCCTTATGGAGGGTCGGCAGAGTATGTGCTCTTTTACATACATATCAGCCATATCTGAATACACTCCTTTCTTAAGCATATCCTCTTTCACACAATACTTTCTTCAGTCTTCCTCTACCTTTGTACCCATCCACATTCATTCTTAACACTTTCAGGATTAGACTTTTAGACTATCCTCTACATCTATACCAAATTCCATCGAAATCCGTTCAGCCGTTTAGGCTACAAACTAACAAACATCCATATAAACTTTCACATATTATCTTAATAATTATAAATGCGAAAGTTTAGATGGATGTTTGTTAGTTTGTAGCCTAAACGGCTGAACGGATTTCGATGGAATTTGGTATAGATGTAGTAATCTAGAAGAACATAGGCTACTTTTAATTCCACGCAAGGAATCGCTGGTGAAAACTAGTACATAAATAAATAATTTTCAGTGACGTGTGAAATCTCTTTTGAATTCGACTACAAATCAAATTGCGTTATATTTTTAAATTAAATTTAGACTTTCATTTATTGCTTTTTGTTTGTTTTTTTTTAGAAATGACATTAAAAATTGTTAACCTTCAGTATTTGATATTCCTTATAAGTTAACCTCATTTTAAAATATATTTTATTGAATCCAGTATTTTTGTATTAATATATGTTTTGAGTTTAAAATATTAGCGTAATATTTGAGATTTTTTTAATTATACATATAATAAAATTACTAATAATAATTGTAAGAACGTTTTCGTGACATTGAGAATTTTATTGGTTATAAAAATGTTCCTTGTACTTTGTTGCATTTAGATTTTTAACTTAATAACTGTGTTTATTTTGTGTTTTTTTATATGTAAGTTTACTTGTTATGTCTAAGTTTGTCAAATAAATCTATTTGAGAAATGCGAGTTTTATTTTCAGATTTAAAAACCATCCTTTTAATATTTAAGAATAAAATTATAACAATAAAAGCGTCCGACAATATTGCAGATATTTTTTGTCAGGCGCTTTTCACAAAAACAATCTTGTCTTGTAAACATATTTCAAAAGCTATATACCTCGTTTAATTTACTAATTAAAAGAGAAAATCTTGGCTTCTATTTCTTTTTAACTATTTAAAGCAAAGCAACGATAAATTGGTATTTTTGTCAAAAAACCCACAATGATGTATCAAGATTCGGAAGACAATCGAAATAACTCAAAATTGCTTTTAAACATTACCGCTATCTTTAAGAAGAAATTGATAAGTATTTTATGAGCGGTCAAATCACTTTATAGCTACATTCACAGTATAAACTTGTTGTTGCTCGCGATATTGCCCGCGTGAAATTAAAAAATATAGCCGAAGTTACTCACAGAAAAATAACCTTTCTAACGGTGAAAGAGGAAAGATTTATATCTTTGTTTGCTTTTCGAAGAAGTTACGTCACCGAGCTCTGATTGGTGTTTGAGATAGAGTAATTGAGGGTAAAAACTATTGCAGCGTTTTTAATTTATATTTCCATGGAGACAAACATTTAAGGTCTCCAAATGTTATTATAGGTTTTAAAATACTGTCTTAAAAATATTAAACATAACTTTATTTGAATTTGTAACATTAGGAAACATCCCCATTCTTTCAACATTAAAATGCTATGTTATCAGTGAGTAACATAGGCTATATTTTTTATCCAATTCCAAGCGGGTCATGAGCAACAGTAATATAATAAAATACGAATTAGATACTTAAAAAATTTATTACAAAAAAATTACATTTAAAAAAACATTACAATCCAATTTGAGACAATAAAAATTGTTCACAATATTTGTACACAGAAATATAGAAATTTTTAAATAAATTATTGCTTTTTTAACACACATATTTATATATCACAAGAGATAGATTTAACAGTGGTACAGCCCGCTTTAACATCTTCACAGTAGGGCTCTCAGCAATACCACGACCACACAGACAGTCGTTAAAGTGGAAACAATTCCACGTTTAGTCTGATGAGTGTGGTTCCGGAGGCCTAATTTTAGTCCCTTTCCCTTCCCAACCTTTTTTTAAGAGGAAAGGATGGGAAGATAAAGCGGATTTGACAGTGGAGGGGACGCATAGGAAGGGGAAATGTCCTCTTTATGTGTGTCCTCCGTTAATGAAAGGTAGGTAACGCTGCAATTGTAGATGTCTATGGGCAGCGTTTGCTTTCCATTTCGGTGGATTCAGGCCGCTTGCTTGTTTGCTACCTTACATTATAAAAAATAGATCTAAAAATATCTGACTTGGTGGACAAAATCAAACAAAAATTTAATATCTTCCTATCATTTGACAAAATAACAAGATTCTTCTCATGTTTTGTTGTCATATATGATTTTGTAACAGAATTGTATCTCACCGAGTAAATTACTCTATAAGCATGTCCCACCAAATTGTCAATTGAAAACAATCCAATGTGTAAAATATGTGATGGAAATATCGGAATTTGTTATCTTATCTGACAGTGACGTTATTTAAGCTAGCTATCAGCCAGTGGTGGGACAGGCCCTAACTATATTAAAAATATCTTTAAAACAATGTCATAGATTAAAAAATATACAGTAAATTGTACATTTAAAAACATCAATATTAAAATTATTTAAAATTCAATCAAAATAATCAATTTTGAACAATTATTAATTGGTAAATTCTATTTTATTACTATACATTTTTAAGTAAATACTTTGTAGGAGTCCTACCTGGCCTGACATTTTAACTGCTTATAACCTGAAAAAGCGAGAAACTCTCAAAAGCAAGAGTCCTTAAGAAAATAACCCTAACAAATAATATTTAAAAAAATATCAACATCCCTTAATACAGGTTTATCTGTAATTTACTTCTTACTAATATTATAAATGCGAAAGTTTGTTATAGTCTGTCTAAATAAGATAGTTTGATAAATGACACATATGAAGTATCAAATTCAATTTGTATGAAGGCAAATACCGTACTTGGACGGGTATCGTAGTGACGAAACACGCAGCTAACAATTATGAACTATCGATATTCGGTTTAAATAATTATCGAACTTAACTAAATTTATTATTATCTTATTAACTAATTTATAGGACAATTCTAGTATTGATTATAGTGTAGAGAATTTAGCGATGACAGAAATAATAGCGAAATCCAATTCGATTACGTACGGATGCAGTAGTAATAAATATATATTTACTCTCATTATTTGTAATGATTTTGCAGGTCATTATTAATTTGAGAAAACAGTGGTTTTATTTATTTAAATTATAACTATGAATCTGTTGATTCTGACTTCTATAATAAAAATGGAAAATCGAAAATTTGATTTTACACAATCAACCCTACTAAATTGTCAAATGAATTGTCCACAATGGATCCAGGGGGAGGTCATGGGATCGTGACCCCTCCTGAGCTGATCAAGAGCTTGACAAAATATGTAAAGCACTTGACTTGCCCATAACTATGTGAGCCCCGTGGCACCAAAGCACCGCCCTTTGTCAAATAAATCTATCTTATTTAGACAAACATATCCTAAACTGACTGGATCTTGCCAATTGTCTAATGTACAGGATAATCCGAAATACTAAGCTATATTTGATTTTTCAATGTAGACAAAGTTGCGGGCAATAGCTGTTACATAAAGATGCTTTAGTTTGATTAAATGTAGTTTTGGTGCTCTTAGACCAAAGAAAGTAGGGATGGATTGTGTGAAAGAGGATATGCGAGAAAGGAGTGGATTCAGATATGACTGAGAGAGATGTATGGAGCAGTACATACTGTGCCGACCCTCCGCAAGGGATAAGGGCAAGTGGATGATGATGGATGATGAGTTTTGTTGCTTTTAATATCTCTATATGTGTAATTGACTTTGATTTGGCCCCTCTGGAAATTCGGAGACATACTTTTGGACTCTATTAGTGTACACCTTTCACTAAACTTATTTACAGTGCACACTATATCAATGGGTGAATCTGTATACTGGTGCTATTTATTTCAACCGCCATTTTAGGCGATAATGACTTACATATCCATCCAGAATAGGTGATTTCTGCGTCGTTAATAAACAATGAAGTATGCAGAATTATAGTCATTTTAATCTCAAAACCGTCTGAAAACCTTTCAATTTATATTATTTTCAGAATTTTTTATGCTTTTTTCAAATACTTCAAATGGCTCACCTGAACATTTAATCTAATGACGCTTATAACAAACAGCCTTTCACCCATTGTTATATTTAGTTGTGCTAAACAGTTGAAGGCTGCGAAACAACCGACAATCAGACAATTATTGTGCGATTGTTTAGTCAAAGGTGCTTACTTCAAGTCTTGAGATCAGCAAATTATTCAAACAATATTATAATTTGATGTACAAGATGATGTTGGTTTCCGTAACTTCTCTTTAATGATATCGCAAGGTGATTTTGTACTGAAATCGAATCTTACAATGTTTGATTTGATGTTTTCTTTAATGTACGGTGCTGGTACTGGCTTCAGTCGTGAAGTTAACACTTTACCAAATGTTGAGCATTTTCCACGTCTTACCTTTTGTTTTAATATATAAGACATATCGGTAATACAAGGTAGTAATGGTTCAGGTTCAATTGTTGGTAGATCTTCGTCGAAATCGTTGAAATTTAGTTCGAATATCGACTCTGATGAACTACTTTTGCTAATTTCTGGAGGTTTCGATGTTCCACAAGGCGTCTGTAATGCTTTCATTAAATCGATAACGTAATCCTGATCGTCGATTTTTATTTCGTTGAGTTTTTCTTCCAACTTCTGTTTCTCTTCGAATTCTCGTTTTTCTTTGGCTTTTAACATGTTTGCAACTTGTTCTGATAGTTTGTCTAGTATTTGACTGTTGTTTTCACTTAATGTAGGTATTGGCAGTCGATTTGGAGAATGTAAAAAGGATTCCGAAACACTTCCATTGTGGGAAAGTTTTATGTTTGGTATAGGTAAAGATTTTGTGTTCGATGAAGTCTCTTTTAAACTGGTCTGTGAAAGATGGCTATCGACTAACGCGAATAACGACGAATACACTTTTGATTCCATATTTACTCGATAATTATTTATTTCAACACTTTAAAGGACAGAAAATATTTTGTTTTGATAACAAAGACGTAATACTTGACATAGACAATTAATTTTGTTTATGATTTGTGATGACATTTGTCCGATGAAGTTTTAGAATTGCCATAATAAGAAAAAATTACCCAACATAATTTTTATTTACATGGGGAGAATTTATGTACCATAATTCAAAAAATCAATAAATAATTACATCCAGGTTAACTCATGTTAGTTAAGTTATTAAAATAACTGTAAACCAAAAATGTAACTTCGAAGGGATTCGAACACCTCAGTTATATTTAAATAGAGTTTTTTTTTTCCTTCAAATTATATCTCTTAAAAAATATTCTAAACAATGTTTTTTGTTTCTTCAAATAGTGTTCATTCCATTTCAATGGAAATAACGTTCTGTTATATAAACAAGCTGAATTTCGCAATAAATTGAGAAACACACTTATTTATCTCAAGTAAACAGTAGCGACAAAAATCCTGGAACAAGAATAACGAGTTCCAGTTAATCATATCGACCATTGACTTGTTTTCTTGACATTTGACCGTGTGACGAATGCCGAATGGCTAAAAACTTTGACTTTTAAGAGACAGGACTTAACGAGCGCGCGCCCTTGTTGTCAAATAAAAAGTTGAATGCTTCATTGTTTTGTGTTTTTTGGTTAAATTTAATAATCAGTATGTATTCTTAGACTTTCAATCATTTGTATTTTATTTATAGCGAAAAGTAACATATTTTTTAAAGTATAATGTTATCTTTGTCCGTTTTTGTATAGTCTAAGGCCATAGACCATTTTAGTCGTTTAAAATCAGTCGCACGGTCATTCCGTGGTACACAAGTTGTGTAACAAACAGACGGAATACGTTCTTTTCTGATTCAATTTAATTACGTGAGTAATTCCGATTTATTTTATGTACGCTTTCATTCATGTTTGTGTTTGTTTAAAAGTTATATTAATTTCTGCTTTAAGTCAAGTTATTTTATAGAAATATGATGTAAGACGGTGTTTTTAAAACTTTTTTTTATGAAGTAAGGTGTGCTAGTTATGATCTAATAGTCACAAAATTAGCTGAATCTTTTTATTACTCTATTCCACTTATTATAAGTTTTACTTGTGGCCAGCTATTTTTAAATGCTGATGTTTTTTTTTATAAACATATCTCTAATTGTCCAGTATTTAATGTGGATGATTATGTAAATGTGCCTTTACAGTTTGTTTTTTTGTCACTTCATTACTAGCTTCTTACCTAAAAGGTTAGAGTGGTAATTATGAGAAGGGATGAATCGCATGTAACAAGACGGACGTTAGTTATGAATGTGGAGGGGTACATCGGTAGAGGTAGACGTAGAAAGAGATGGATGGATTGCGTGAAAGTGACATGATAATGAAGGGAGTGATGACTGAGATGACGGATGATAGAGTGCTTTGGAGGACGAAAACTCGGTGCGCCCTACGGGGATAGGATAAGTCAGGGAAGATGATGATGATTACTAGCTTCGTACCTTCCTAACAAAACAATTATATTCTAAAATTATTACTATTCTAGGAGCGGCCGCACACCTTTTACTAAACTATCGTACAACTGTTGTCCGATAGTCGATTGTTTCGCAGCCAATTCAATTGTTTGGAACAAATAAACATCGAGTTGTACGTGTACCGTCATATAATATCATATGGATCAAAAAGAGACTAAATAGTTGTGTAATAATTTGGTCAAAGGTGTGCGCGCCTCTTACTATTTCAAGTGATTTTATCGCGTTCAGATGAACGAAGGAAATTACTTCGGAGTGATTCCACGAGCGTAATCAAATTGACCTATGTCATAACATTTCTTGATCTCCGATAAAACATAAATAAAACCTACGTTTATCTATAAGTTTACACAGATTTTAATAAGCAATAATTATAATAATTAAAGTAAATTTTACTGTTTACCAATGACAAACAAATCTCAACAAAGAGTGCACGCCTTTGAATAAACTTTGCACAACTGTCTTGCTTTGATTCTTATGAGCTTAGGGACACACTACTCGATGTTTAGTTGTGCTATAGTTTGTCTAAATAAAATAGATTAGTTTGATAAATCACGCATATGTAGTATCGAATTCAGTTTGTATGAAGGCAAATGTCATACTTAATAGACAGGTATCGTAGTGAAACACGCAGCGACCAATTATGAACTATCGATATTCGGTTTAAATAATTATCGAACTCAACTAAAATTATTATTTTCTTATTAACTAATTTATAGGACAATTCTAGTATTGATTGTGGTGTAGAGAATTTAGCGATGACAGAAATAATAGTGAAATCCAATTTGATTACGTACGGCTGTAGTAGTAATAAACATTTATTTGCTCTCATTATTTGTTATGGTCATATTTAAATTGAGAAAACAGTGTTTTTTTAAATTCACAAGTTATAACTATAAATCTATCGATTCCAACTTCTATAAGAATAAAAATCGAAAATCGATAAGATTCGTGACTGATTTTACACAACATACAACATAGTACATTTGAAGTGAATTGTCAAACTAATCTAAATTATTTAGACACACTATAAACAGTTGAAGGCTGCGAAACAATCGACAATCAACAGTTGGTCGTTTAGTTTGCTAGATTAGTCCAACGTATGCACCCGCTCTTAGCGTCTAGTACAACGTAAATAAAACCACAATGTAACCTATAAATACACATCAATTCATACTGCGTACAAACAACTTAACAATGGTATCATTTATTTGAATTACTCATGCGAATGACTAAGAAAATACGAAACATTTTTCACGGTTCATCATCTTATCCTACTCCCGTAGTGTCGGCGCAGCAGGTTTTTGTCCTCCAAACTCTATCATACGTCATCTCAGTCATCACTCCCTTTTTGTTCATGTCACCTTTTACACAATCCATCCATCTCTTTAGGTCTATTAGTTAAAAAATACATACAGTTACTAAGTCCAAAACTATAATAATGATCTGGATAATATAACTTATATGCAGAATAGAGAAATTATTAAACAAACATGAGATATAGCAAGAAAATGAGGTAAAAAATAATTTAATTGACTAAATTTGTCTGTTTGTTTTTTTTATAACATAAGGTGGCAAATAGGCAAGCGGCCACCCGAATCCACCGAAATGGAAAGCGACCGCTGCCCATAAACATCTGCAATTGCAGATGCGTTGCCTACCCTTAGTTGACGGAGGAGTAGACGCACATAAAGAGGACATTTCCCCTTCTTATGCGTCTCCTCCACCGTCAAATCCACTTTTCCTTCCCATCCCTTCCTCTCAAGAAAAGGGTGGAAAGGAAAAGGGACTAAAATTGGGTATCCGGCACCACACTCATCAGACGAAACGCGGAATTTCTTCCACTTCACGCCTGTTTCTGTGATCTGTCGTTGAACATTCTTGCAAATTTTGTGTGCTATACCCCCCATTTGTTTTTCAACGTAATAATTGAAGCTATTATTTCTTTAGCATGTTTATAAATAACTAGCTGTTCGCGTGCGGCTTCATCCGCATAAAATTATATATATTTTTTTATTGTTTACATTTGTCAAATTATCAATAGCAAATGTCAAAATGACATGACATGACAAACCTTGGCAATCTTGTTTCCTTGATGTTGGCAGCAACTTATGATCTCTTTCCCACAATAAGGTTTTTATCCAACATATTTACCCCCTAAGTTTGACGTAAGTGTAGAGCTTTTTATTAAAAATAAAATATTAAAAAATATGCTGTAATTGCTGACATGTTAGGCAACAAAGAAGTGTGTGTTTACGCTTTATTATAATAGTACAGATTTGAAATATGGCTTCATTTATCAAAACCAATGAAGTTATGTTTGTAAACATTGAGAAGTTCTTTGTTTTTAAAAAGGAAAATAATAACAGGAAAAAAATCTTAACCTTGTTATTGCCTAGTCAGTGTCGGTTAGTCACGTAACATCCGGCCAATGACCACACATATCTACTTACAGATCCAAGGTGCAAACCTCGGTAGAACTATATACCAGCCGTCGAACGCGTTTTCTTTTGTGAATAAAATCTTACCCTATACGTCTAGACTGTCATTTATGTTTATGTGTTGCTTTGATTCAGATCCGGTCAGGCATAGCTACATGGTACAATCGAGGAAACTGTCGGTGTTCCCCCTTAAGCAGTTGTCAGAATAACTAATTATTTTACGGCTATTACTCACGTCTATTTTCTCGGTGCCGCCACCGAAAAAAATAGATGGGAGTAATAGTCGTAAAATAATTAGTTATAAAAATGTCTTATGAAAATTTAAATAATTTAGTTGTCAGAATGTTTTGTACGTTTTGAGACGACAAACAATAACCAATAGAACGTTGTATATTTGTTTCTATTTTAAAAGATCAGTCAGTGGTACAGCTAATATATTTTTTTTATTATCTCGTTTTTTGCGCAACTCTATGGTACTAGTACTAGTTTTAACTATGGAATATGTTTTAATTACAGGATGAGATCTTTATTCGTATGGGCCCTGCTGGCCCTGTTTGTGTGTGTGCAGTCGCGCACCACACATGTGCAACAGCCAATCACAGCGCAGATAACGTCCCTAACAGACAAGGTAACGTAGTACAAGATGAATAATAACAAAACTATACTATGTACATGTATAACTAGATGGTACTACTGTGTAGCACTAACACGATTACTAGATGGCGCCACTATAAGAGTTAAAACACGCTAGTGCTTCATTAGAAAAATAACAAGATGACTCACTCTGTTCTTTGATGATTTTGTCAGATTGTCATATCTACTACTTTAACAAAGTTTTGTTTAATATTTCAGGATGCGCGTAGAAAGGCCAGTGTACACCCAGCGTTCTCTAACGCAGGCAGGCAAGCTGGTGTTGAAGCATGGAGGATCGTGGTAAGTTTAAATTACTACATTTAGTGATAACATCGGTTAGGCCTGACATAACAGTTGATAGAGTGCCAGGGAAGAAAGCAAATGAACATAAAAAGGAGGAGTCAGAAGTTCATAATATAGAAACACCACAAGAGTAATTTCATTTCCTATTGTTTCAGGACTTCAATCCGGTTGCCGTAGCGCAAAACGACATTGGTAAATTCCATAAAGGAGATTCTTATATTGTTCTTAAGGTAATAATTAACATTTTCCACTTTGATTATTAATTCCCTTTATTCGACCTAAACTATTTTTATAACATAAGGTGACAAACGAGCAAGCGGCCACCTGAATCCACCGAAAGCGACCGATGCCCATAAACATCCGCAATTACAGGTGCATTGCCCTTAATTGACGGAGCAGGAGACTCACATAAAGAGGACATTTCCCCTTCCTATGCGTCTCCTCCACCGTCAAATCCACTTTGTCTACCCAACATTTCCTCTTCAAATATGGATGGAAAGGGAAAGGGATTAAAATTAGGGATTTCCTGTCGAAACCATAATTTAAATTAGCTTTTCCCCACGAATCTATCCTCGTGGAATAAAAAAAATCAACCGTAAGTGGCCTTTGTGCTCTTCCAACTATCCTCTAACTAGCAGTTTAGGCTACAAACAAACATCAATCTAAACTATCAAATTGATATTAGTAAAATTTACAGACGACAGCTGACAAAAAGAACAATCTATCCTGGGACATATACTACTGGATCGGTAGTGAGTCAACACAAGACGAATCGGGAGCGGCGGCCATATTGACTGTAGGGTTGGATGATAAATTCAACGGAGCTGCGATACAGCACAGAGAGACGTTAGGACACGAGAGTCAGCAGTTCCAATCTTTATTCAGACCAGGTACAGAATAAATTCAAATAATGTTTCCCTAATACATTTAGAGCGTGCATATACCTTCGACAACTATCGCAGAACAGTTATGCGATTGTTGTTTGTTTCATCCCATTCAAATGTTTACTTGCACAACTAAAAATCTAGTAGTATGTGACCTATATTTATTTATTTATTTATTTATTTATTTTTAGCTATCAAGTATCTCGACGGTGGGGCTACGTCTGGTTTTAACCATGTGGTGACAAACCCTGGTGCGGAAAAGCGATTGTTCCATATCAAAGGAAAGAAGAATATACGTGTTAGACAGGTATGTTTTTATTAAGAAATTATCAACTTTTATTGAACATTATTTATCTCCTTTACATTCAGTAATTAACTAGTTATAAAAATATGCTTTACAATAGGCAGATTTTCAGGATTTGAACCCACAAACACATTAGTAAATGTACAATCGCAGAAATCCGTGGTGGTTCACTTTCAGAATAATTGTCTTGTTCCTTACATCGAGACAAACTTCTACAAATAACCAATTAGATACCAGTGAGTTGCGAAAACGATATAATAATAATCCATTACCCATTACGGACCGATATTTCGTAGATCCATCTAAATTTTTAGCAGTGTGAATCGGTATTTACTGAACTAGCGCGTACCATCCTTCGACCACATCTTCACCTTGGTCTAGGTGGGATAGTGGTTAAGCGCTGGTTTTGCAATTTAAAAAAAAATGCGTCTTATTGTTTGCTTGCGTTGTCTATACGATAAAAATGTTAAAGAGATACAAAGAGAAAGAGAACAGTGGTAGTGCCCGCTTTAACATCTTAGCACGAATGGGCCGGCACGCCCGGTGTAATACCACGACCACACAGAAGATAGGCGTGAAATGGAAGCAATTCAGAGTTTCGTCTGATGAGTGTGGTGCCGGAGGCCTAATTTAAGTCTTTTTCTTCTCCCTTTTCTTATAAGGAGTGGATTTAACGGTGGAGGAGATGCATAGGAAGGGGAAATATCCTCTTTATTTGCGTTTCCTCCTCCGTTGTATAAGGGTAGGCAACGTATGTGCAATTGAGGATGTCTATGGGCAGTGGTCGCTTCGCCATTTTCGCGATTTCAGGGGGCCGCTTGCTCGATTGCCACCTTATGTTATAAAAAAAAAGAGATTGTAACTTTCTACACTGATAGATTTCCCGATTGTACTCTAATAGAGTTCATAATGAGTCGTGTTTCAGGTGGACCCACTAATCGCTTCAATGAATAAAGGGGATTGCTTCGTTTTGGACATAAATAATGATATTTATGTATACGTGGGTGACAGTGCTAACCATAAGGAACGTCTGAAGGCGATATCATTCGCTAACCAGGTTAGAGACCAGGACCACAACGGCAGAGGAAGGGTCGATATCGTTGGTGAGTAATTTAGATTAGACTGCGTTAAGATTGTTCAATATTTTAAGTTTACAATGATTTATAAGAATATCAAATTAACACGTTCACTGCGTAACAGGCTAATATCGGCCTGACGCGGTACCTAAGCTGGTGAGGACGAAAACTATGTCCCACTCCCTAGCGTGAAACGATTATCTTTGGTATACATTACATAAAATGTATACATTATGTTTCTACAAAGTTTTAGCAATTTTATCTATCCTAAAGCTGGTGGGTTCATAAAGACCTGCCGTGTATTAGCGGAAATATTAGTGGGCACATTTTGGCCCGCCGCCGCCCTAGATAAAGAATCATGCTTTTACTCGCCGCAATAAACGTATTAAAGACTCTTAAATTTACTCTTAAATTTTACACTTCCCACCCTTTTCTTATAATGGAGGAGACGCATAAGAAAAGAAATCTCTTTATATGCGTCTCCGTCAATTAAGGGTAGGCAACCTGAAATTACATGTCTATGGGCATTCACTTCGCCTTTTTGTTGAAAACAGTCGCTTGCTTATCTATACTTCTATACTATTATAATAAAGCGTAAACACACACTTCTTTGTTGCCTAAGATGTCAGCAATTACAACATATTTTTGAATAATTCTTTGATTAATAAAAAGCCCTACTTACGTCACGCTTTAGGCTATTTCACACCATTAAACTTAGGGGGTAAATATTTTGGATGAAAAGACTAATGTGGGAAAGAGACCATAAATTGCTGCCAACATAAGGGAGCAAGGTTGCCATCGTTTGTCATCATGTCATGTCATTTTGACATTTGCAATTGAATTTGACAGATGTAATCAATGAAACAATTATCATAATTTCATGCGAATGAAGTCGTGGGAACAACTAGCCTTCTATAATATAAATTTTTTTCAGACCAATACTCAAGTGATAGCGATGTCCAGAAATACTTCACCGCCTTAGGTTCAGGAACAAGGGATATAGTACCTGAAGCAAGTGCCGGTGGAGATGATCAGGTAAGCTAACTATTAATTTTAGATTAACTACTTAATGTTAAGAACAAAATTAGTACCGTGCTATAGAATTGGCGCAACACTAGATTATCGGCATAAACGTCACGTCCCTAGCTGACAGCTGTCAATGTCACTACAAGTATGGATTTGGCGCGCATCCTGAGTCCTGACGAGAAGTGTTGCTCTGAGTTTAAACCGACAGTATCAATTAAATAAGTTGTCTAATATAATAACGTCAAACTTTATTATATTTAAATACTGTAGCTCGCGACTTCGACTTCTATTTTACTCACAGATAAAGTAGCTTTTTAACGGTGTAAGAATTTTTTAAATCGTGCCAGTAGTTTTTAAATTATTTCAATATATACAAAAATATAAATCAAATTATAATAGTAAATATGTATAAGGGCTAGAATACATAGACAGTAAAATTGAGTAGTCGCTGGCATGCCAGTTACTGGCATTTGTCGGATACAGGCGAACAATGCTAGAATATTCACACCATACATGATTAAACAAGCCTGTCTAGATTTTTTTTGAATTAAAATGTCTTACAAATGCATTAACTTAAGGCCCTTCTTGTTTCTTTTATTAATATAAGTTTATCTTCTTATTAATTCTAGACTTTCGAACGGAGCGAAGAAGATGCAGTTTCTCTATCTGAGATATCTGACAGCAAGGGATCTCTGGTTGCTACTCCTCTACGCAAGCCATTCAGGCAAGAAAACTTAAAACCACAAGTAAGGCAATACAATTATCTATTATATGCATATTTACTTAATAAAAAAAAACAAATAAACTGAACTTTATGTTCATAAAGTTCCATAATTTGGTTAACTTACCATCTCCCGATATTCGGGGAAATTATTATTATGGCAGCCCTGAAAACCTCACCCCAAAATTCCCGAAATTGCTATACTATCTTAAAAATTAAAAAAAAAACAACGGTGTTGTATTTATGTTAGTTTATTAATTACGTAAATTACTTTTACAATTGTATTTTCGCTGACACTAACATATTTTATATTTCAGGAAGCTTATATCTTGGACACTGTTAGTGGAAGTATTTATGTATGGCTGGGAAGACAAGCCACAAAAAGAGTAAGTATATAAAAAAAAACATTTTCCTTTTCGGTCACACCTGTGGTTTTCGTGTATTTTCCCTCTCACTCTATTTATAATATTAGTAGACTCTTAGTCAGCCTTATAGGAGTATTAATTGTTTAAAAGTATAATATTTGACACATTTCGCTACAATATAATTAATTACAATAGAGAAATTATAAAAAATAATATTTTAATAACGTTTACAAACATTCCCGCCAAAATGTATTTAATATCAAAGTGACATTTACTTTTTTTTCAGGAAAAGACAGAAGCGATGTCAAAAGCACAACAGTTGTTGAGATCTAAAAATTATCCATCATGGGTAAGTTAGTTTAAAATAGATTTTATTTTAAATTTAATTGACTTACTGAATAGTGAATAGGAGGAAGGGAATAATTTTTTTTTCTATCAGGTGCAAGTGACAAGGATTCCCCAAGGCACGGAGCCAGCGGCGTTCAAACAATACTTCGCGACCTGGCAGGACGCTGGCATGTCACACAGTCGACTTGTAAGATCTATTCACGGTGAGTACAAAGAAAACGTGAAAGAAACTTATTCGTGACTTTATTATATAATTTACTGCGTTATTAAGAATGTTAAAACTTTGACCTGGCAGCGCTAGAATCGCTATCGAATATTCTTCCATGTTCCCTTAATTATATTTTTCCGTAATATAGCAGGGTTTTTATATAGCTGCCATGGCAAAAACATTGTAAATAAACTTTAATGTTTTAAATTATGAGAATAAAAGTAAAAATTGTATTTTACACATTGTTACTTGTAGTTAATGGTTATAATTATAATTGCGTGGGATTCAATTGTTTTTTGTTTGGTAATTGCAATTTTTAATTGTATTTATTTTATGCACGTGTTCTGGGAATATGAAGTACAAAAATAATTTTAAGCATGGAATTTACGGAGATCATGTTACGTTGTATTTAAGTAAGGGTTTCATTTTATATTATTTATTTCAGAAACTTCTTAGGGTAACAAGAAGAAGAAAATACTGTGCTATGACCCAGTCTTGACATATTTTTGTATATCTATTAAAAGCTTTACATATTTAAATGTTTAAACTAATAGCATGGGAAATACTCATTTTATACATTGTAATATAATTTTTGTAATGCCAATTGAATAAGAAAATAAATAAATATTATACCTGGATTTTGTTTTATTTATTTAAGAAGTTTGGGAAATTACTGCTTATGGACTCATTGGTGTTAGCTTACGCATGCGGACATGCATCTTGCTTGGAATCTAGTTGAAATAAATACATTTAGAAAAAACTATAATGCAATACTTGAGACTTACTATGAACAATAAATAGGAATTCGTTCCATAAGTTTTCATGAATGATTCTTTTTCCACAATTTAAATCAATGATATTTTACCGGAGTAGTTATACAATAAAACATAAAAAAAACATTAACGTAAATAAATACAAACATTTACTTTAAATAATTTTGAAATATAATTGTCATTGACGTTTGGCTGTATGACTATAGAACTTTTGCCTTATGTAAATGAAATCTAAACAAAACGTCAATGGTGATTGACTCAAATGTCAAATTTTAAATTGATAAAAAAAATTCAAATTCCTATTTACTTTTGTAATTATAATCGATGGGGTCGACTATTTATTAAAAAATATAATGAATTACATTCAAATGTTTAGTTTTTAAACTGTATAAATAACAGACAACTGTTTGCTGTGTTCTGCTCTTTTAAAAAGATAAGAATTTTTATCTATAATTTACTGGACTGATAATTTCAGCCAAAACAACAATGAATGAAAACTCGATTCAACCGAAACTCTACAAAGGCGTAGTCAAATCAGAAACTGTTATGGTATTCGAGGAAATACCTAATTTTCAACAAACTGTAAGTATTCCCTTTTCAATTCATTTACGCAAATAAATTAAGTTTGTTAGAATACCAGCTGTTGCCCGCGACTACGTCCGCGTGATTTAAATGAAATTCAATTGCAGTTTATGGGCAATCGCTTTCCATTTTGGTGGATTCAGGCCGCTTGCTCATTTGCCACCTTATAAAAAAAATAATGCTGAAAATTCATAATTTTGTTTGTATGTTTGTTACAGGATTTAAGACAGGATTCGGTGTTTGTACTAGACATGGGCGATGAGTTATATGTGTGGGTAGGAGAAGATGTGTCCGACTTAGAAAGAAAAGTAACATTTAATATACATGTAAGTATTATATTTTTCTCTAATCCCTCATTTTATCTGTTTAATACTTATACTAGCTGCTGCTCGCGACTTCGCCCTTGTGTAATTAAAATAATAACAAAAGTGAGTAGCCTAAGCATTCCAGACTATCCTCTACATCTACGCAAAATTTCATGAAGTGGACCTCCAGCAGTATAGGCTACAAACTAACAAACATCCATCTAAACTTTCGCATTTATAATATTAGTATTAAGACCAAAATTAGTACTGTGCTGTAGAATTGGTGTAACTCTAGATTATCGGCATATGAGAGGATGGGAAGGGGAAGTGGATTTGATGATGGAGGAGATGCATAGGAAGGGAAATATCCTCTTTATGTACGTCTCTTCTGTCGGTTAAGGGTAGGCAACGCTGCAATTGTGGATGTCTATGGTCAGTCGCTTCGCCATACTGAAAGATTCAGGTGGCCGCTTGCTTATTTGCCACCTTATATTATAAAAAAAAGTCACGTCCCTCGCTGACAGCTGTCAATGTCACTAGAAGGATGGATCTGGCGCGCATCCTGAGTCCTGACGAGAAGTGTTGCTCTGAATTTAAATTGACAGTATCAAATAAGTTTTTTTAAAAATATGAAGTATATTATAATGCACTTAACTTTTCAGACTCATCTAATACAGCTAAAGGCTAATTTCAGTAAGAATTGGGATGTTATAATGACGAAACAAGGACTAGAACCTGAATGTTTTAAGAAATCATTTGGGAAATGGCAACCCGAGTTACTAGAGGTGAGTTTCAAATCATAAAATTAATATAACTTAATATATTCTTAAGAAAACCTTTATAAACCCTTCTACGGTCAAATGGAGTAACTCCTCTATAGTGGTGGGGAAAATTTTCCCTTTACCAGTCAGATTGTGTTCTCCATTGCATGCTCTTCACTCGCCTGACCTGAATTACTGTAATTATATACAATAATTTCTTTTTCGTATTTAAAAAAAAAACTGTGTAAATCGAGTTTTTATATTTATTAAAGAAATAGTAGTACAAGAAAGTATTTTATCTATACTATTATAATAAAGCGTAAACACACACTTCTTTGTTGCCTCAGATGTCAGCAATCACAGCATATTTTTGAATAACTCCTTTTTTAATAAAAAGCCCTACACTTACATCACGCTTTAGGCTATAGATTGTATGTGTAGGGCCTTTTATTACAGAAAGAATTATTTAAAAATATGCTATAATTGCTGACATCTTAGGCAACAAAAAAGTGTGTGTTTACACTTTATTATAATAGTACGAGCTGTTGCCCGCGACTTCGTCCGCGTGGAAAACATACGAACTCTATAAATAACAAAAAGCTACGTATCCCGGGAACCGGACATTTCTCGGGGATGAAGCTTATCCCATGTGTACTCCACACTTTGTTTTATATCTGTGACACATTTCAATAAGATATGTTGAACCATTGCAGAATGATCGAGTAAACATTAAAAAACTAAATTAATGAATCCCAGGGGAACCGTAACGATTCCCGGGATAAAAAGTAGCCTATGTATTCTTCCAGACTATGCTCTAAACCTGTGTCAAATTTCATGGAGATCCGTTCAGCCGTTTTGGCTACAAACGCTAACAAACATCCATCCATCCATCTAAACTTTCGCATTTATAATATTAGTAAGATTAGTAAGATAGATACATGTAATATATTACAAATGTTTTTTTTTTCAGAAATTAAGAAATAGTGACAGTGATGAAAAATATGATGCATTGAATTTCAACGAAATAGATGACTAAAGGAAATAATTGAAATACAATAAAAAGAAATTATAAATGTATAAACAATATTCCCTTTATAAATAGACTAGCTGTTGCTCGCGACTTCCTCCACATGTAAAAAAATATAGTCTATGTTACTCACTGATAAAATAGCTTTTTAATGGTGAATTTTTGAAATTGTCCCAGTAGTTTTTGAGTTATTTCAATTACAAAAATCTTTCCTCTTTATAATATCAGTATAGATATATTAAACTGGGACGACCTAGGCTATAATTTTTTATTATTTTTTAAATTCTTGAAATTGTCCCAGTAGTTTTTGAGTTATTTCAATTACAAATTTCCTCTTTATAATATTAGTATAGATATATTAAACTGGGACGACATAGGCTTTAATTTTTTATTATTTTTAAAATTTTTGAAATTGTCCCAGTAGTTTTTGAGTTATTTCAATTACAAATTTCCTCTTTATAATATTAGCATAGATATATTAAACTGGGACGACGTAGGCTATAATTTTTTATTATTTTTTTAATTTCACGCGGGTGAAGTCGCGAGCAACAGCTAGTCTGTTTACTACAGTTGAAATAATATACTATAGCATGTAAATAACTGGTCATAGATTTTTTATTACACAGAGTAAATAAAGTAAGAGTATAAAAAAGATTCCTAATAAATGTCTTCTATATTTTTTTACAAAGAATTTATTTTATTGTAATATAAGGAAATATCTATTTTCATACATCTTTCATCTAAATAAATATATCATAGAAATAATGCATTTTGTTTATTATAAATTATTCCAACTGTGAAAAAAAAATCAAAAGTAATTTACTTTTAGATATTTGGATATATATTTTTATTTAGCACTAGCTGTTCCCGTGCGGCTTCATCCGCATGGAATTATGAATTTTTTTTATTGTTAACACTTGTCAAAGTATCAATAGCAAATGTCAAAATGACATGACATGACAAACCTTGGCAATCTTGCTTCCTTGATGTTGGCAGCAACTTATGGTCTATTTCCCACATTAGGGTTTTTATCTAAAATATTTACCCCTAAGTTTAATGACGTGAAAATATATAGACTAAAGCGTGACGTAAGTGTAGGGCTGTTTATTAAAGAAAGAATTATTCAATAATATGCTGTAATTGCTGACATCTTAGGCAACAAATAAATGTGTTTTTACGCTTTATTATAATAGTATAGATTTATTGGTAATATTTCTTATTGTGTGTTGAATAAACTTGCGTGGAACGGAACGTACCGCGTGTCAAATCCGCCATTTTGATTTTAACAGAATAACAGCAGAGATTTAATAATAAATCGATTACATTAATAGTTTTTGTAGTAAATTAAAGGCTTTTTATCTATTTTTATAAATAAAATATGAAATTAGTGAAAATATTCTCATATAAGTTTGATATATAGAGATATATGTCTCTATCACACTTAGGCTCTTTAGAATACATGCGTCTCACTCTGGAACTGTCAATTGGAAGAGCAAAGTTCTATCTCTGTCGCACTTGAGTATTCTTATATGTTCCGTCTCTCTCTTAAATGGTCAACTAATTTTTATAAAGATTTTTGTAGAAATATTTCTTGAACTCATATGTTTATTTGTGTTCTTTTTATATAGACAATAAATGTTGTTATAAATCTTCGTTTTATTTACCTTTTTTAAAGTATTATTTTTTTATTTTAGTACCCGTAATAAAAACATAATTCGATTTTAATTGTCTTTGGCTGCGATCGTTAACCACGCCCTTTACTAAAGGTTCTCAACCTCAGCTCGCGGGCAACATGGCGCGGAACGATTCGACACATTCTGATTTTCTTAAATTTTATTCCTTAGTTTAATTTTTTTGGAGTGCGTAGATAGGTTTAGTAAATCTATCCTAATATTATAAAGAGGAAAGATTTGTATTTTTGTATGTATTGAAATAACTCGAAAACTATTGGGCCGATTTTAAAAATTCTTTCACCATCAGAAAGGTAGTTAGTTTATTATTGCTAATGTTTAGGAGCTATTAATAAACAGCTTGTTTCTGGACGCCGGCGTTATTATTATATAAGAAAAATAGGTGGGAAAATAAGAACATATCGAAGAAGTTGGTCGATAAAAGTGGCGGACCACTTGAGCGATATTTTAGAATGTAGTCTAGAGTACAAGAAAGTTGGGCACCCATGCCCTATACTAATGCACTGAATATAGTAAACGATTGAATCTTAGAAGTGTGAGGTCATTCGGTCATATTCTTGTCAGGAATGCCATAAATGGAATCTCTTTAAAATTATTTACGTAAATAAAATAAAAAGTATTCGTACTTTATAAACAAAATAAATGTAAATGCGAATGTTTAGATGGATGTTTGTTAGAGTTTGTAGCCTAAACGGCTCAACGGATTTCGATGAAATTTGGTACAGATGTAGAGGATAGTCTGGAAGAACACATAGGGTACTCACTTTTGTTTTTTTTCTAATTTCACTCGGACGTAGTCGCGAGCAAAAGCTAGTAATATTATAAATGCGAAAGTTTAGATGGTTGTTTGTTAGAGTTTGTAGCCTAAACGGCTCAACGGATTTCGATAAAATTTGGTATATATGTAGAGGATAGTCTGGAAGAACACATACTCTACTTACTTTTTTTGTATTCCACGCGATAGTCGCGGGCGAAAGCTAGTAATATATATTTTTCAATGTCAAATTCCGATGTCTATACAAGGTCATTAAAGTCTTGTGTTATTTCCTTAAACATGTTTGCGTTTATTTTACTAGCTTTCGCTCGCGAATCCGTCCGTGCGGGATTAAAAAAATACAAGTAGCCTATACTTCAGACTATCCTCTATATCTGTGCCAAAATTCATCGAAATCCGTTCATCAGTTTAGGCTACAAACCCACAAACATCCATCTAAACTTTCGCATTTATATTAGTATGATTTAAAAAAAAAAAACTAGTTTGTGTCTAAGACTAACGTAGAATGAAAATAATGTTCTAACATTATAAATGCGAAAGTTTAGATGGATGTTTGTTAGAGTTTGTAGCCTAAACTGCTGAACGGATCTCGCTTGTCATATTTATAGTCTGGGAGAAGGAATAGGCTTTTGATCCTGGAAACAGTTACGGTTTTTATGGGATACATTAATCTTTTCCTTTTTATATAATATAAGGTGACAAACGAGCAAGCGGCCACCTGAGTCCACCGAAATGGAAAGCGACTGCACATAAACATCCGCAATTGCAGCGTTGCCTACCCTTCATTGACGGAGACGCACATAAAGAGGACATTTCCCCTACCTATGCGTATTCTCCACCGTCAAATCCACTTATTCCGATCCTCTCCTCTTAAGAAAACGGTGGAAAGGAGAGTCTAGAATAAGGCCTCCGGCACCACACTCATTAGACGAACGGCAGAATTGCTTCCACTTCACGCCTGTTTTCTGTGTGGTCGTGGTATTACTCCGGGCGAGCCGACCCATTCGTGCGAAGATGTTAAAACGGACTCTACCACTGTTATCATGTTTATTCGATAATTCTGTAACGTTTCAATATATCTTATTCAAAAACACAGATTAAATAAAATCTTTAGTAACACATGGGATACGATTTAGCCTCAAAAAATGTCAGGTTTCCGTGGGATAAGTAGTTTTTTATGGTTTTGGTATGTTTTTAATTTAGGGATAGTGATAATAACTAGCTGTTCCCATGCGGCTTCATCCGCAGGTAATTATAAAAACTTCACTTTATCGTTTACATTGGTCAATTTATCAATTGCAAATGTCAAAATGACATGACATGTGACAATTCATGGCAATCTTGCTTCCTTGATGTTGGCAGCAACTTATGGTCTCTTTCACACATTAAGTTTTTTATCCAATTTATTTACTCCCTAAGTTTAATAGCGTGAAAATATATAGCCTAAAGCGTAAGTTAATGTAGGGTCTTTTTATTAAAAAAAGAATTATTCAAAAATACGGTGTAATTGCTGACATCTTAGGCAACAAAGAAGTGTGTGTTTACGCTTTATTATAATAGTATAAATAAAAGCTTACATTAGTACTGACTGATATAAGATAATGTAGCTTTTTAATGGCGAAAGAATATTTAAAATCTATTCAACAGTTTTTTAGTTTCCTCTGTACATAAAAAAATACAAATCTTTCCTCGTTATACTTAAGATTTTTTGTAAACTAGTTTATGTCTAAAAAGTTCGTTAAATTTGTATTTCTTACATCCAACCATAAACAGAGTGCTGTATTTAGATATATAAAGAGAATAATTTTTTAATTCGCTAAGATAGCGAAAGAATTTACTCAGATAACTATAACTAGTTGTTGCTCGTGACTTCGTCTGGGTCAAATTAAAACAATATTAAAAGCATAGCCTATATTACGCTATAATATAGCTTTTTAATGGTGAAAGAATTTTTGAAAACGGCCTAGTATTTGATTTATTTTAATACATACAAAAATACAAATATTTCCTCTATATATTAGTACTAGTTTTCGCCCGCGACTCCGCCCGCTTGGAATTAAAACCAAAGTGAGTAGTGTGTTCTTCCAGACTATCCTCTACGTCTATACCAAATTTCATCGAGATCCGTTCAGCAGTTTAGGCTACAAACTCTAACAAACATCCATCTAAACTTTCCCATTTATAATAGTGTGATAGACGTATAGATATACTTGCATTTCAAATGTCTATGGTCACTCCGTCCGTTCATCTGTTCGCGTAAAAAAGATTTTACGCGAATAAAGTCGTGATCTTAAACTTGTTTTTGTTGAAATGTGAATTACATATCGTGTTTAGTCCAACATACAGGTTTGTTGGAGAAGGTTGTAGAGCAAATATATTTTTTTATTTAAAAAACTAAATTGTTACATGATTGAGTACTTTGTTTATTTTACTTGTACAAAACCTGAGGAATTTGATTTACAAGTATTGGATAGTAAGCTTTTTTGGTAAGTAAATTAATTTTTAAAAGATTTATTTGTAACTAGCTGTTCCAGTGCGGCTTTATCCGCACTTCTAAAGACTTTATTGTTTACATTGCAAATGTCCTTAACGTTGGCAGCTAGTTTATGTTCCCTTTCACATGAAGATTTGTTTCCAATTTATTTACCCTTAAGTTTAATAGCGTGAATATAGCCTAAAGCGTGTAAGTGTAGGGCTTTTTATTAAAGAAAGAATTATTCATATTTATTTATTCTTTTTCGATTTTTCGAATTTTCATATGTACATAATTTACTCGACGTTCTTACCGGTAAGGAAAACATCGTGATGCAACCTACACATATCGGTGAAGAGATTCAAAGATATGTGTGAAGTCAACCCGCAGTGCAGCGTGTTTGACTATGGCCTAGTCACCCTAACTCAGGGTAGGCTCCGAGCCCCATTCCCCCCGTAAAATGGGTCTGCAAGTGCGGACGGCGCTGGCTAGATCGCGGAAGATTGCGAGTGTTCCCGTGACCCAGCCATCGGCGGACAGGAGGAACACCGCTGGGTTTTTAGTGGATGTTCCGGCCATGTCTGTTCTTTTGGCCGGCGAGTCTCACATAGCCCCCTGGCAACGGGGGGGACGCGTAAAGGCATGTTCCCAACGAGAAAAAAAAGAGGCTCAGAGCCCTCACTAGGGACGTATAGTGAGCTGGTGGCTGACATTCTACGCCACGAAGTAGTGTGTTTACGCTTTATTATATTATATAGACAATCTTTCAACCGCGACTCCGTCCGCGTGGTATGAAAAAAAAAAACATGAGTTGCCTATGTGTTCTTCCAGACTATCCTCTATATATGTTCCAAATTTTATCGAAATCCGTTTAACCGTTTAGACTACAAACTCTAACAATCATCCATCCATCCATCTAAACTTTCGCATTTATAATATTACTAGCTTTCGCCCGCGATTCCGTCCGCGCGGAATTAAAAAAATCAAAAGTGAGTAGCCTATGTGTTCTTCCAGACTATCCTCTACATCTATACCAAATTTCATCGAGATCCCTTCAGCCGTTTAGGCTACAAACTCTAACGAACATCTAAACTTTCGCATTTATAATAATACGAGCTGTTGCCCGCGACTTCGTCCGCGTGGTATTAGAAAACATACAAACTATATAAATAACAAAAAGTTACGTATCCCTCGGGAACCGGACATTTCTCAGGGATGAACCTTATCCCATGTGTGCCCCAGACTTTGTTTTATATCTGTGCCAAATTTCAATAAGATATGTTGAACCGTTGCAGAATTATCGAGTAAACATTAAAAAACAAACTCAATGCATCCCTCGGGAACCGTGACTATTTCCGGGATAAAGTAGCCTATGTGTTCTTCCAGACTATGCTCTACATCTATACCAAATTTTATCGAGATCCCTTCAGCCGTTTAGGCTACAAACTCTAACAAACATCCATCCATCCAACTAAACTTTCGCATTTATAATATTAGTAAGACTAGTTTTCCACCGCGACTCTGTCCGCGCGGTATTAAAAAAAAGCAAAAGTGAGTAGCCTATGTGTTCTTCCAGACTATCCTCTACATCTATGCCAAATTTCATCGAAATCCGTTTAACCGTTTAGACTACAAACTCTAACAAACATCCATCCATCTAAACTTTCGCGTTTATAATATTACTATGATTACTATGATAGTATGATAGATATACAAGTATAGATTATACATTCTTCTCGTGTTCTTGTGTTAGAATATGTTGGATAACTACAGTAAAGATGTAACGATATAAAATTATCCTCCTTAAACCGGTTGGAAAACGTTATTATTAAAAAATAATTAACCAGTTATTTTTCTGTGTCTTTATCCTCCTTTGTATTTTATATATGTTAATTTATATAATTATCTTAGATCCCGAGTTCGAATACCTGTGTTTTTATATGTACAGTCTCGGAAATCAGCGGTATACCACTTGAGGAAAAATTGCCTTCGTTGCAACGATAACTTCGCTTCTTATAATTAAGCTGTTCCCGTGCGGCTTCATCCGCATGAAATTATGAAAATTTTGTTTTATAGTTTACATTTGTCAAATTATCAATAGTAAATGTCAAAATGACATGACATGACACACCTTGGCAATCTTACCTTCTTGATGTTGGCAGCAACTTATGGTCTCTTTCCCACATTAGGGCTTTTATCTAAAATATTTACCCAAAAGTTTAATGGCGTGAAAAAATATAGTCTAAAGCGTGACGTAAGTAGGGCTTTTTATTAATCAAAGAATTATTCAAAAATATGCTGTGTTTGTCTCCTACGTAGGCGTGAGTCGTTACGTCATTTTCGAGAAACGTAACGAAACTAGTGATTTGTTCGGCGTCACATGTTTCAAAACTAGTGATTTTTGT